CTTGAAGTCTCTGATGTTCTGCACATCTGAAAACGATCCCAGAGGTACCGGCAAATTCTCGCACCAGGCGACACACACAATGGACTGAATGCAGCAATTCAGCACTTTGCCAGGAGACTCTTGCCGTCAAGATTGCTCTAACAAGCCGCACGTGGCAACACACATTCAACATGTGTGCTGAGAGCGACGCAAAGCCTCTGGTGATCTGTTCGTTGCGTATTTCTTCTAGAACTGTGTATGGAGGAGGGAGGGGTCATGCTGCAATGTGTCATGTGAAACTGCAAACAAATTGTATCAGGTGCCATCACAGAGAAGGGGGTGACATTGGCAATCCATGCTTGCCTACATAAAGCCTGTTCGAGCCCTCGTGAATTCCCAAACAAGCATTGCTGAGGCCAAATCAATGCAACATTCATGGCACGTCAGAGCCAGGCTAACAAGGCGTACTACTACATATTGTCATGCTTGGCCTTGTTAGCCAGCTTTGACTGAAACACACAATAAGGCTAAACTGTCACAACCACATCTTAGGCTCTGGGCATGAGTTTTGCTTAAATCGCCCTGGGCGTGGCTCTTGATGAGGCCCAGGTTTGCCGAACTTGCTCCAAGGCTGTGTTCGCGAGACTGGACTGCCAGCAACTCTACTTCGTGATGAAACATGCTGTTTTTGTCTTTTTCCGCACATACTTTGCGCCTTGTGTCTTGGGCGACGCTTAAAACCTAAAACAACGTATACTGGCATGGCGAAAGCGTGTACGTGTCATGGAAAATGTGTGCCTCACGTATAAGAGCAGATTGCTGTAACAATGCCTTTGGGAAGGCAAGCAAAGATCTCCTTGGCCTCCACCCACGTGTGTCGCCGATCAAAAGGCGTAAAGGCAATACCCCATTGACAATCATGGGCCTTCCTCTGATCTCCCATGATCATGCTGACACATGTCCTTCCCATGTTCGGTAGGTGTTGGGATACCATGCGAATGCATGTCATTCCCATGTCATTCCCGTGCGCAATGATGTCCGCCATACCCTTCCGCGAAGGCTCGTGCAAGATCCACCTTCGGCCATTTGGGAAGCCACTTGTGAGCACAGGGCCAGGGCATATCTACTGAGGTCATGCGGGCGACAAATGGCCCACTCCCACATGCAACGTGTACACGAACGCGTGAAGACGCGGTCGAAGTTCAGGGGTGAATGCCCACAGCAAGGTCTGTGCGCAGAGCTGGGAACCGGTAGGGGCTTGTGTTTTGGTAGGGCATGTGCGTCTCAGGATCTATGCCTCATCCAACACGGTGTCATCCCTCAACATGCTGGTATGGTGTCTGAAAATGGGAAGCTCTTCATCTCACTGTGTGTTCCAGAAAGTCCAAGGAAGCCGATGCAGCAGCTCCCCTGTTGTTTTCTTCTCGTTTGCGCCCGTGTAGAGAAATTTGTTCACAGGCGAAGCAGCAAAAAATCGCTTGCTCTGTCCCAAGGTCTGCCAAGGCTCGCAGAAGTAGGGCTTATCCAGCAAACCGCGCTCCCAAGGGCTGTTGCGGCCTGAGGCTCGTGTCTACCCGTCAGTGCTTGAAGGCTGAAACATCTGGGCGTTGAAACGGCCATGCTCCTTCAAAGCCAACATGCAAAGCCGCATCTGTGGAAAAACCACCAATGCACCAATTGACGTGATACTTTAGATAGACTGATTCCACTCCGCGGAAGTGTCCAGACCCCGCCTTCCACCAAACAGGTGAGCACCCGCTGCAAGCCTCGCGATCGATTGCCACACACGCGCGAGCTCGTGTGATGGGTTTCAATTAGGGACGCTGTGGTGGACATCATTTCCACTCGGGAACGTTATGTCCACCAAACAGTTTGGGTAGTGCTCCCCCGTCATGGATTGATGGTTGCTCGTGGTGTTGCACCTGCTATGGGGAAACGAGTCAAAACCTCCGTTCCACCACCGCGAGCGAGTCGTAAAATCCGATTGGTTCTCTTAAGCTCCTACCAATGGGCTCTCCAAACTTGAGCGACTTGAAGTGCAGGAAGCTACAAGAAGAACGCAACAGGTTGACACTCTTTGGGGCTGAACAAGCCAGAGGCATTCTCACAGACCCACTCATTTGGGTGTTGAGATTCATGGGGGCTCCGGGGCTCCTCGGTGCCTAGCATTTACATGGGGATGTAGGTCCAGGAGCGTGGTTGATGTTCAAAAGGAACCAAATGAGGAGGGTTGTCAAAACAAGGAAAGTTAAGGAAGGCTTGGTCCTTTCTGGAAACCCCACGACGTCCATTTGTGGCTTTAGACCCTCTAGATGAAACCAAGCATTTACCCTCCCACCAAAAATGGGTAACCCCAAAATGGCCCCTTGGTAAATGGAAGCAAAGACCAACACCTGCGTAGCCCTGACTCTTTCATTTTGAGCCACGCCCCGGCCCTCGGCCTGGCCTCGGAGCGGAAAGCTGGACACCAGAAACACGTCGCCTGCCAGCGGATCTCGGCGGATTGGCACGTGGGCAAACCGGAAAACGGATCGCCTCCGCCTTGCCTGTTTTCGGCGCTGCTTTGGTGGTGCAGCCCCCAACAACCAGCCGTTTCCAAGATGATTCAGCTTTTTTTGCTGTTATTATGCTCAAGAACCCTCAGATGTACGCTTCCTCTGGTCCCCTTGGCTTGGCCCTAACGTTGTTGGCGGCTGTGTCCTGTGGTTGGTGCTGGTGCTGCTGTGCTTCTGCCGGTGGCAAGTGAGTAGAGCCAGGCGCCTGGCACGTTCCAATTGTCAACATCCGCTTGTGCCGTCGGGCATCGAAGACTCCGCACTTGGGATGGCCTTCTCGGCTGTCCCAGGTGCTTTGCAAGCCCCGGATGGCCGACTCCTGGAACCAGCTGGGATAGTAGATCCTTGGTCCAGCGCCAATTCTCTTCTCCAGTAGTTGCTTCGCTGGATTGGGCGAAATCAAGAGCAAAACCTGAGTCTGGAGGTGAACCCAAAACATGCCGAAGACAACTCACCTCAATTGAATTGGCTCGGGCCTCCCAGGTGATGCTTCTAACCATCCAAAAAGATGGCATCCTTCACTGTGAGGACTGTCAGACAGCTCCACCTGTTGTATAGTCGCTTTTTCCAGAGCCTGCATTACAAATAGGCCAAACGGCGGCCACTCTGTGTTTGACGGCTCAAGACGGTCAAAGGAGGGAATATGGGGGCCCCCGTGATTTGGACTTGGTGGCTTTTTAGCAACCTCAGGTTACAGTTTTTGCCCTCGCCGAGGCTCCCCTGGATCTGCTTCCATCGCAGGAGGTCCTCAAAGATCCAGTCATTCGGCATGGCGAACGCATGCGCGGGAGTTCCTCTTGGATTGACCAGGCGCAAAAAGTTGCCTAAAACCTGCAGACAATTCAACACGGGATACTCCTCGACCATGACCCACCCAAGATGGGACCGAGGTCTGTGTCTCCTTCGCGTGCAGGTATGCGTGGTTGTATACTTTGTTGTCAAAGGCTGGCTAACTCATGTTCTTTCCCCCCACCTCAAAACGGAGGGGGGTGGGATGTCCCCCACTTTGGTTTTTCTAGTCGTCCCCGCAAAGGAAACATACCTGAAATTCCAGGCACTAGGCTCCTTCCCCTATTCTGGTCTCAAGGGGGTTCGGATGTCTCACCCGTTTCGACTGCTCCGGGTCACGCAACTCCGAGCTTGAGCCAAAGAGCCGCCAGAACCTCGGGGTGTCCAAAGCGGCCACCAAACTTCTTCAAGCCGGAAGTGAGCGCGGCAAGATGAGAAACAACTCCATGTCCAGAGTTGTGCGAGTCAAGCTCTGCCAAATGTCCCTGATTCCCAGACCCACGACTCGATCCCTTGCAAGTCGGGACTTCACAAACCGGTGCCGAATGGGAGGCGTTTACAGGAGATTAAGGGATCATGTCCTGCAGCCACATGGGAAGGCTGAAAGAAGAGCGCAAAAGGAGCGCGTGTGAGTGATACGGGAGGGCTATCAGACTGTGCGAGTGCTGTGGGAGTGATATGGAGGTGGGAGAGTTGCCTGCTTAGTCTGCGTTAAGCACTCCCCTCCTGTGGGGGGGCACCCTTCCTAAGGACCCTGAAGTTGCTGCGAAAAGTGCTGATGCGTGCAATGGTCAAAACTCGCTACGGTCATCGTTGCGAATCCTCTGTCTAACTTCCCTACTCAAGGGTTGCCCATCTCTACCAACCTCAAGTTTTCCGCAACCATTCCTACCCCAAACTGGTGGTTTGGTGGTTAAGGGGTGCTTCTTCCCATTTATGCTCTACAAAAGCCAGGGCTTCAAATCCAAATCCAAACCACCCAACCAAACCAATTCGGGGCTACCGGAGCAATTACTATCCCTCCCAAGGCCCAAAACCAAAACTGTTTTACTTCGAACGACCCAGTTGCGGAGGGTCGGATGCTAAGACTTAAAATTTGACAACCCCAAACCTGCCGGGTGGGGAACAACAAACCGAAGTTCCCCTCGGGACCCAACAACAAAAGGTGATCGCCTCTTGGGGCCATGACTAAAAATGGGCCAAAAAGGGGCAAAGGACCCAAACATATTGCTGTGGGTCAATAAAGGTCATTTGGCTCTGAGTCAAAATGAAACCACCAGGAATTGGACCGCAGGTTAAATCGTCCATGTTTCCACTTACTAGGGGAAGTCATTTGGGGGTTACCCTATTTTTGAGCCACAGCCAAATGGTGGACAAGAAGGGCAGCTGTACCACAAAGGGGGCAAAGGATCCAGAAATATAACGAAGAATGGGCCAACTGTAGTCTCATTTAGTAGGGGAACCCTCCCAACCAAAAAAGGGGGTTCAGAAAAGGCACCTAGCTGGACCGGGGACCTAGACTAAAAATGGACCAAAGGGGAGAAACGCAAAGGTCGATTCGCCTTCATTTTCAGGTCGATTCAGGTCGACCAAAGACAAAATCGACCAAAGACTAAAAATGGACCAAAGGTCATTTCAGGTGGATTTTTTCTTCAACGGCGTCCCTCCGGGCTTCGCCTGGCGCCCCCTCTCCACGCAGCTCTCCAGCAAGGCCACGCTCTCCTTCCACCGGTGCCTTCCGAGGAAACACGAGTGGAACTAGGACCCCCCCAAAAAAAAGGAAAGAAAAAGGAAAAGGAAAAACAAGTCCAAAGCAGTTTTAAATACTTTATATGCCAAAATAGACAAAGAATGAACCAGACTGGAACTAATAGGTGGTTTTCAGAGAAACCCTTCTCTGGTACCCCTGAGTTGGTGGTTTTGAATCTCCTTTTAAAGGACTCCCCGTTTGGGCTCCATGACTTGAATTGAAGGTATCCAAAAAACGGATTTGGCCCCTTCTGGTTCTAGCACTAGGAAAGCAGCACCGATTCCTGCTTTGTGAAACACCCTTTCTGGCGCCATGTGTGACTTTTCTTTGTGCATGTTTGTCAGGGAAGCGTCATGAAGCCATCATACTCCCGGGTGAGACCGCACGTAAGGAGCGGAAAACAAGGGACATTTGTGGAGCGGAAAAGTGCACACGCAGTGAGCGGAAAAGTGCGCGCGATCCACGCGGAAAAGCAATCCGGCTATTTTCCCTTTGCGGGGCAGCATCATTTGCGCGAGTGGTCTAAGGGGGTGGACTTCAGTGCTGCTGGCACAAGCTGTGAGGGCTCGGATTCCGGACGTGCTAATCCCGGAGGTGCATCCCGAAAACACCGTTTGCCCCGTGATTGAAACTTTTCCCCGGAAGCGGGCGATGCAGGAGACAGGAAAGTTTCAAACACGGAGCGAAACGCATTTTTGGGTCCCAAAAACACCGTGCGCCCCGTGCTTGAAACTTTTCCCCGGCAGCGGGCGATGCTGGAGACAGGAAAGTTTCAAACACGGAGCGAAACGCATTTTTGGGTCCCAAAAACACCGTGCGCCCCGTGTTTGAAACTTTTCCCCGGCAGCGGGCGATGCTGGAGACAGGAATTCAAACACGGAGCGAAACAATTTTCGGGTCCCAAAAACACCGTGCGCCCCGTGTTTGAAACTTTTCCCCGGAAGCGGGCGAGACTATGGGAAGACCACGGGAAGACCACGGGAAGACTACGGGCAGCTACGAGAAGAGCGCGCCAGGCCCGCTAGATTTCCGTGAGAACTCCGTCAAAATTCCGTGAGAATTCCGTCCAAATTCGGCAGGAAGGGAAGACTATGGGAAGACTACGGGAAGACTACGGCCCGCTAGAATTCCGTGAGAATTCCGTCAAAATTCCGTGAGAATTCCTTCCAGATTCGGCGGAAAAGGAAGACTATGGGAAGGCTGCAATCGGCAAGCGCTGAACAGCTTCCTGGGCAGCGACGATCTTTCAACCGCTCGAGCCGCCCTGAAACTGCGACCAACCAAGGAGCATCGGGCACAAGACGCAAATCTCCTTCGTGGGGGCTCGAAGGCAGCAGGTGCACATCCCAGTGGCCAGCCTGAGTCCAGCTAAAAAGCAGGCGCGCCTTCACCCGCCCGGAGCCATAGATCTGCTCCCGCTGAAGGTCAGCGCAGTGATCATGGGTTGCCTCCAAGCCGGGTGCACAGTCACGCGAATCGCGAAGCCGATGGCCGTGGCGATCCATGGTACATCCTGCACATGAAACGCCGGATCCTCTTTGGCCACACGTAGGATGTCTTCCGCCAACTGGGGGCACCGGAGAAGCGCAGCATCACCTAGTCCCAGCAAGATTGCGTTTTGAGAAAAAATAGGAGCCACCTGCAGCCTGTCGCTTGCTCTCACAGCTCTGCCCCCGTCACAAAAAAACTGCACCAAGGCAGCGGAGCCACAAACCTCTCTGCGGAGCTTCTGGGAGCTGGCAACATGAACCAAGCACTCTGCTGCACAGGATGTAGTCTTCACGTAGTCTTCCCGGAGTCTTCCCGTAGTCTTCCCGTAGTCTTCCCATAGGCTTCCCTGCCTTCCGAATTTGGACGGAATTCCCACGGAATTTTGACAGAATTCTAACGGAATTCTAGCGGAATTTTAGCGGGCCATAGTCTTCGTAGTCTTCCCGTAGTCTTCCCATAGTCTTCCCCTCCTGCCGAATTTGGCCGGAATTCTCACGGAATTTTGACGGAATTCTAGCGGGCCGTAGTCTTCTCGTAGTCTTCCCGTAGTCTTCCCGTAGTCTTCCCATAGTCTTCCCCTCCTGCCGAATTTGAACGGAATTCTCACGGAATTTTGAAGGAATTCTCACGGAATTCTAGCGGAAATCTAGCGGAATTCTTCTAGCGGCCCGTAGTCTTCTCGTAGTCTTCCCATAGTCTTCCCCTCCTGCCGAATTTGGACGGAATTCTCACGGAATTCTAGCGGAATTCTAGCGGGCCGTAGTCTTCTCGTAGTCTTCCCGTAGTCTTCCCATAGCCTTCCCCTCCTGCCGAATTTGGACGGAATTCTCACGGAATTTTGACGGAATTCTAGCGGGCCGTAGTCTTCTCGTAGTCTTCCCGTAGTCTTCCCGTAGTCTTCCCATAGTTTTCCCCTCCTGCCGAATTTGGACGGACTTCTCACGGGCCGTAGTCTTCTCGTAGTCTTCCCGTAGTCTTCCCATAGTCTTCCCCTCCTGCCGAATTTGGACGAAATTCTCACGGAATTCTAGCGGAATTCTAGCGGGCCGTAGTCTTCCCGTAGTCTTCCCATAGTCTTCCCCTGCCGAATTTGGACGGAATCTTGACGGAATTCTAGCGGGCCGTAGTCTTCTCGTAGTCTTCCCGTAGTCTTCCCCTCTAGACAAAACCAGCCCCCCCCCCCCCCAAAAAAAAAAGGGCACCCTTTTCGGGATCTCTCAAAATCCCAACCTTTTCCGCACAGTACGAACCTTCTTTATGCTCATTGTGAGTTCCTTTCTGCGCAAAACATTGTTTTTTTTCTGCTCATAACAAGAACCCTGTCCCTTGTTACCACTCGTGAGGCATGACCACAAGTCCTTAGCAGCATGTGTGTCATCTCAGGGTATGCCTTCGGAAGCTTTTGCGTTGTGTTTTACCTAGTTATCATCATCTCGGGGTGGGAATGGCTCGTTTCAAGGTGTATCATTTGACGCTAAACCAGACTTTCACCAGAGGTTTGGTTAGGGGTTCATACAATCAGGGATTTGTGCGGGGTGCCTTAACCTTAAGAACAGCATGAAACCTATTTTTGTGTTCAAACAGAGTCCAGAGAGGCCCATGCAGGTTGGCACTGTCTTCGAAATGCTCTTCTTAGAACGGCTGCTTGGATTAGATCTGCGAATTGCCGCGATGTCCCCCACAAAAGGGTCGATGCCTCTGACACCAAGGGGTTTCTGTTCCATATCCTTCCATTGGAAAGAAGGTACCCAGGATGGACTTGAAGCCAAGGGCCCCAAGTTGACCGAGTCGGTCGCTGAATCGATCGACCTCGCAAGACCGGTGCCTTGAGGGACCCAGAGCAGCGGCCATTCGACGATTCAAGCCACCAGAAGTTGTAGGTGAAAGGAATTGACGCAAGTTGGTGCTGTATAACACTTAACCTGACTCAGGCGCATCGCTCGACATCAAGTAAAAACTCTCCCGTCTAAGGCAACGCGCCTGCGACCAGAAAAACAAGAAAATCCCCCCCCCCCCCGCCCCCCCCCCTGCCCCAGACCGAAAAATGCCGGATCCTGCTCAGGAGAAAAAAAAAAACACAACCCCCAACCCCCAACCGTGGGCTTGGTGTTGGCACCAAAGACCGAAAAATCCGAACCAAACAACACAACGCGGAAAAATGAACAATAGAACCAAACACCACAACGCAAAACAAACAAAACTAAAACAAAACGCTCAAAACCAGCATGAACCAAAACAAAAGAACCTCGGGAGCAAAGCCAACACGGTCAGAGCTGGCTATCTCTGTCTGGTGTCCCTAAATCAGCTAATCCTCAAAATGCCTTCCTTCCTGTTGGCTTTTCTTTGCAACAACCACCAAAAACACATCACCTCTCCCAGCACGTCCATGTCCGAGTTGTCTTTGGGCGGAGCTGGTTTACTAGTATTGGAAGTATTGGGTATCCCAAAACCGATCTACCCCCGCAGCTACCTATGTGCCACTCCGGATCCCGGCCTTTGGACCAGTCGCTTGGCCACCACACAGGCCAGCTTGGGCTCCTCGGTGTCCTGAGATTTTGGCGCGACTTGTAGGCTGGGGCCAACGGATCACCAAATTCCCGTGATCTAGACATGCAACCCATATTATGTATATACATATATGTTTATATGATATGTTTTAATGTATATATAGATACACACTTTAATGTGTATGTATACTTATATAATATACATATTTCATATACAAGCATGTTCCTCAAACTAGAGGTCTCCTCCTGGTGTGGTTTTAAAGGGAAACCAAAAGGAGACCAACCGCTTGGATTGGGTCCTTAATGTTGGCATTCGATTAGTAAAGGGTACCGGAATAATAGAAAGTTGTTTTCCTTATTCTGGTTCACACCCATTGTTTAAGGGGACCAGAATAATAGAAAGTTTTTTTGGCCAGGGGGAAAATTCAAAAAAAAACTCCACAAAGCAAATTTAATTAAAAAAACCATCCCCCCCAAACTCTGAATCTCCTTCAGCAACAAGCTGAAGATTGTGTACCTCAGAAATTTGAAAACCATCCCCAGCCCTGAAACTGCAAACTCTTTATTAAACCGTGCTAAAAAATTGCAAAAAAACAATCAGGACAAGGGTACCCCTCACAGACCCCACTGAACCACAATAATGTGATTGTTTTAGGGGACCACAATAGTGGCAAGCCCCCAGCCCCCCCTCCCAGAAAATAAACTATCACTTGCTTTGCTCAAAAGCATTCCCCTTTCAATTGGTCGCCCACTTGCTTAAAAGCATCCCCTTTCAATTGGTGGCCCACTTGCTTAACAGCATTCCCCCCCAACCACAGAACCCAAAGCCAGCTGAAACTCTGAAATTGGAAAACCATCCCCAGCCCTGAAACTGCAAACTCTTTATTAAACCGTGCTAAAAAATTGCAAAAAAACAATCAGGACAAGGGTACCCCTCACAGACCCCACTGAACCACAATAATGTGATTGTTTTAGGGGACCACAATAGTGGCAAGCCCCCAGCCCCCCCTCCCAGAAAATAAACTATCACTTGCTTTGCTCAAAAGCATTCCCCTTTCAATTGGTGGCCCACTTGCAGAAAGGCACACCCCTTTGAATGGCTACAGAAAGAACTGAAAGGGAAGTGGTTGCAATACTAAAGTAGTATTCCAAAAAGTATGCTCAGGAAGAAGTGGTTGCAATACTAAAGTAGTATTCCAAAAAGTCTGCTCAGGAAGAAGTGGTTGCAATACTAAAGTAGAATTGCAAAACGGAAGTGGCTGCAATACTAAAGTAGAATTGCAAAAAAGAAGTGGCTGCAATACTAAAGGAAGTGGCTGCAATACTAAAGTAGAATTGCAAAAAGGAAGTGGCTGCAATACTAAAGTAGAACTGCAAAAAGGAAGTGGCTGCAATACTAAAGTAGGATTGGGCCCCAAAACCCTCCATTGTTTGGACGTCCCAAAAGTGCACCCCCATTATTTTGGCGCCTCCATTGTTCAGGGGGGGGGGGGCCTTTATTAATCAAGTGCCAACATTAATGTTGAGACGCACCCACATAAAATGTGTGCTTGTCTCTATTGAAGGGACGCTCTTGTTGGGAAGGAAACCAAAAGGAAACCACCCACCTGGCAATAAACACATACTATACATGCAGAGATTACGTAAAATCAGGTGCGTGCTTGGGTTTCGCTAAGTCTATGTGCGTGGAAGTGTGCGTGATTTAATACCAGCAGTTGTTGCATTGGTTTAGACACATCTTGATCACCGACAAAGAATATGGTTTTGCTTTCCTAGGCCAGCTAGGTATTGAAGGCAAGGTACACCTTCAACTAGGTGGTGCCCCTGCCTTGGAAAGATTGAGGGAATGAGGGTCCCCCCCCCCCGCCCTCTTACCCTCCCCAATCCAATCCTACATAGACTACTGCACTGCGAAATTATCCGTTGCCCGAACATAAGCGGATGAACATTTTCCTGTGCCCTCCACCTGACATTTTGACGCCATGTTCAAGCCGTGCCGCACATTATCCTCACTGCAGATTGCAGATGGGGACCACTGCTCATTCCCCAAACTCCCCAGAGACTGAAACCACCTCACATTGGACCGGACATGTCTGGGTGGTGTTCTTTGACCCCCACAAAGGGCTTCAACCTTGGACTCCTTCCTTCACACACACATACGCCACCGTTTTTTGGTGGCACCTTCACGAAAAAAAATGAATCTCAAGCACCCCACCGGCGATGTCTGAGACGAACAAGACTTGGCCACATCCAATTCAAATTTGTCGTTAACTGATATATGCAAGCCAGGTGGATACTCACCTCAAGCCTGTTGGAAACCCCCATTTGTCCCATTTGTGTGTTTCGGGAGGTCGGCGGTTACCATCCCTAGTGTTTGGGTTCCCAGTGAGTTAGCTTGAAATGGGATAATCATTGCCACGAGCGCCGCCTTTTTTCCCCTCCGGAGAGCCGACGGTCCCGGCCTCGTAGAGCTCATAGAGGAGCTCGATGCCTCTGTCGACATTGTCCTGACACGCAAACGCCTCCTTGCCCTGCCATTCATGAAGCACCCTCCAGCGTGGAATCCACCAGAGGGGCTCCTTTGCAGGAAAAATGTCAAGGAAACTGCCCAGAGCCTCGGGGTGTAACGATCTGACCCCAAAGTAACAAACCAAAGCATCGTGCCTCTGAGGACCCAGGCCTAACAATCCAGCGACAAGGAACTCATGACGATCAACCGCAACGGGGCACAACAACCGCAAACCACAAACATACAAGGCCTCACGAGCCACAACCTCAACCAAAACGAGGCTGCTGCTCCTTCTTGAACAGCAGTTGGGACAGCTCCCAGAGGGATTTCCAGTCATCCTCAGTGCGAGAACCTCAGCTGCGGGCGGCTGAACGCTTCGCGGACTCATGGCGTGGCGCAATGCGCACCATGGAAACGGGCCATTGTTCAAACGGGATTTATGATGAAGGTTCATGAGAAAGGCTCAGTCTACAGGGCCAGTGCATCTTGGGCACTGGCATGAACAATGCCCGCATTCTGTTTTGCCTTGCTCCCTGGACCTGGCCTCATCTTGCTCGGTGCTTGGGACATTTAAGCGACGACCGAGAAACGAGGAAACTTGGGGCTCGCAAATGCTGCCAGCTGCCGGCCATCAAGCGCTGTTGAATCCAAAGCCCTTTGCCCAGCTTTATACCCAGCGTTGCTTCTGTGTGCTCGAGCCAACGTTCTGACAGGCAGGACGTGAGCCCCCGTCCTGTCCGAATGCTTCAAATGAGAGACCCCGCCAAATCACTGCCGAAGGCTGCCGACAATCTTCCTTTCATACAGAGTTCCCTCGTGTCCTCTCTGTGACACACCGACCTGCCATGGGACTGTCCACACAGTCGCTGAAAACTCCGTTTCCGCCTTCAACCCATGCTACAACTGCCCTTCTTGTCCACCATTTGCCACACTGATCTGAGGCATCTGCCTCGGGGGCCGATGCTGCGCTTGAAGGCATAGCAGGCCTGGCAGAGAGAGGATTGCAGCAGACTTATGAGCCATGCGTAAAGCCTCCCCAGGACATGTTGTTCCCTACTTGTGTTGTCCCATTGCTGAAGCTCCAGCTTGAGCCCTGGTAAAGTGAAGAATGTGGCAGCAGGGGTAGCAGGGGTATTCTAGTACGTCGTCGTCGTCGTTGTAGCAGCAGCGGCAGCAGCGCAGAAGCAACAGTAGTAACAGCAGCAAGTATTAGCAGCAGCAGCGTAGAAGCAGCAGTGGAAGAGCAGTAGCTTTAGAAGTAGCAGTAGCAGCAGCAGTAGTGGTAGTAGCAGTAGAGGTAGTAGAAGTCGTCGTCGTAGTCGTAGTAGCAGCAGCAGCAGTGGTAGTCGTAGCAGTAGCTGTCGCAGAAGCAACGGGAGTAGTAGTAGTAGTAGGAGCAGCAGCAGCAGCAGCGGTAGTAGTAGTAGTAGTAGTAGTAGTAGTAGTAGTAGTAGTAGTAGTAGTAGGAGGAGGAGGAGTAGTAGTAGTAGTAGTAGTAGCAGTAGTAGCTGTAGCAGTAGCAGCAGTAGTAGCAGTAGTAGAGTCGTCATAATAGTACTAGTAGCCGTATCATGGCAAATTGCCGAGAAGCTGCCAAGAAATTGGCAATCACAGTGCTTTCCATGTTGCGAAAAGCATTTTGCGGAGATCCGGCATCCAGAAACTCAGGCCGGGGCAACTTCCTCTGTGGCACTGTTTCAAGGTTGCCAAGTCCACTCTGGGTCAATTGTTCAGCATGCACTAAAGAGAATGACAAAATTTAGTACGTGTCAGCTTGGGAGACAGGATCAAAGACAACCAGCATTTCAGCATGCACTGAAGAGAATGACCAAAATAAATAACCAGCATGACGCCAACCATTTCGTGGTGCCCAGAGAAAACCATAAGTGAAAAGTTGGGACAGTGCCACATGTCCCGCTTGCCTGGTCAGCCAGCTCCAGCCGCATTGACAGGTCTGCAACCTTGCGCCACACTGGCCGCGCCTGGCACGGCCAAAGATCATCGCTGATCGCTGATGACATGAGCGGATCGAAGGGGGATAGCCAACAGTCATGGAGCTTCGGCGAGGTAGGCGTTCCTTATTCTTCGAGAAATGACGGGTGACAGAAAGATCAGCAGGAAGCAGCTGTTGCTGCAATATCCATGTATCATAAGGCATGCATCTCCTGTCCCATCGTCTCTCTTAGTGAAAACACGCGAGGAAAGGAGAAAGAGGGGATCTGGAATATTCCTTATGATCAATCCTATCATATGAATCCAAATTGGGGCTGCCCAAGGCCCAAGGCTTGCGCAACGCAAATTGAGCTCGCACATACCAAACCTATCCAGCCAGCGCACATCCTGAGAGGTTTTGCTTAGATCATCTCCATGCCCAAGGAGGTGGCGCCCAGCTAACTACCTCTTGCTCAGCTCAAACGCCATCCCGGTTCTCGTTCCCCAGAATCGTCGCCAAGATGCGGATGCTGGGGGAGCTCTAAGCATGTTGCGTCATGGGTAACTCTCCAGAATTTTGGTTTGCCACCCACTCAACTGGGATTTCTCTATCGGAGAAAATAGTCAAACATCAGTGGTGTTTCTTTTGGATTCCTTCCAATAACCTCCGAAGGGCATGGCTCACCCTTTGCTACGCGTGCCTCTGAGGACGGCGACGTGAAGTAGGCAGACAAGAGCAGGGCATCCAAGGCCTCTCTTGACGCGTCGCCAGTCTGGACCTCACCCTGCCATACCCCTGCCATTTTTGCTTCAGAGGAACGGTGTTTGGACGCATTTACGGAAGGGATCCTTCACAACTTGGAAATGCCCTCCAAGTAATCCTCAAGGTTGATTCATCCAGGGTCAACAGTATCAAAGGAGTCTTCCCAAAGCCATAGAAAGGTCAAAAGGGCAGCCCCCGCAGCGATTTTCATGGTGACTGTTCTCTACCAACCTTCTCGTGGCGAAACAATGCGGCCCTTTTGTCTGCTGCTTGCATGTTTGTGGCCGTTGCCGACGACATGGGCTGCCGCTGCGGTGTGAATAAATTGGGACAAAGTTTACCCTCCCCCAGACTAACATGGAAGCTCCCAGGACCTCTTTGGAAGACTTGGTTCCATTTACAGAGGCCTTCTGGGAGCTTCCGTCTGAGGGAGTGTGCTTCAAAATAACGGTCTACACCTTGCTGAAGAAGTTGCTCGGCCTGATTGTCAGAGGTTGGAGACTTGACGAGTGACCTGCCCCATCATCCCTGCCATCTTGGAAACAGCGTGTGGATAGCCTACCAAGCACGTCAGCGTGGGATAAAACCACCTTGTAAGACGTGGTTGCCAAGTGATCTCCTTCATTACAATGACGAATCCATCCCTCCTAGGAGTTGCCTGACATCTGCCCACCTCAACATGGGAAGGTCCTTGTGGAAGGTTTTCCAGTTTGGCAATACCCGCCTGGAGCAGCCTCTGATGTCGAAACGCACACATCTTGCTGAGAAAGCAGTCTCTGCAGGAGTATTCTCTGCCCCTCCAAAAGGATGGGCGCTACTCAAGCAATTCAAGCCCACTTGCGAGCCCCTTGTTCGGCGGTACATGTTCATTGGCTTCACTACGCGACTCACGCTTTGCCACCTCCACAAGTTCCAACACCATGGTACAAGACCAGGTCAACTCGTGAAATCAGCTGTGTGCAGTAGTGGATTTGGCCCCCATGCCCTGGGGATATACAGTAGGCGTCCTCTTGGAGATTTCGTTCTGAGAGTAGTGGAGATCCTCTTCGAGATAACATTCAAAATCAAGAAGGCACACTCTATGAAAAGGTAGCGCTGCGTTCATGCGCAACCCCGGTGAAACCCACCTGCTTAAGCAACTTATAAATCTTGGTCAATCCATAAACCCTGCGGTTAAAGCAGTCCTTCGATTTGTTTATCATCATAATTTAGGCAAAGGGCCAAAATGTACTGTCTTGCCAGACACTGACCAGGGTTTGACATTGTGAAGGGAGTCCAGCTGTTCTTCCTGCCTTCTTGTCCTCTGATAGCTCCGTGTACACGAGGTGCAGCACGTGGTACGGATCGGCTAGCCCGGGTTGCTCTCCTTGGGTTGGCTGGCACAGAGATGTTCTGCTGAAAGGGGTCCCATAGAATGCATGCAAACCTGTTTGCCCCTACCATGAGAAGTATTTACCCTTTCGGAATGTCGCTAAGATTAAGACGTCAATTGTTGTTTGGCTCCGTTAACAATGTTGTCTACCCGCCGACCAATCTAGATCAATCCAAATCGTGACATCGTAACGCTCAGTCCTTCTCGCCCCAGAAACCTGTCACAACTAATAGGAAGCCACGCATTGTGCACGTGGCCTTCATCAATGGGCCAATGGGTTCTGAGCGTCTGGAATGGCTGAAAGCAAACATGGCCGTTGGTGCGCTGGGGAGCCATTCGATGACTTGGATGGTTTGTTCAACTGCAACTCTCTGGTCTACGGATCCTTCAATCGCTCCACAAAGAAAATATGTCCACCACAAAAGCTGATGTTTAAAGCTATTCAGCTACTCCTTGAGCAAAAAAGCGGATTTGCACGGGGCAAGCCCTTTCCTGTTTCCCCGCTTAAAGGGTAATCAGTGATGCCTGGCAGCTCCCAGCTTGTAAACCCCCAAAAGAAACAGAGCTGTGAGTTTTCAAGCCTTGGGTTTCAAAAAGGGAAACCCCCAAAAAGCCCGAAACCGGCGGCAAAGGTCGAGCACCCATCTCCACCTGGCGCTGTGCCCTCCCCTCCCCCCTCCCCCGAGGTTCACTGGGCCCCCCCGGCGGATGGCCGCGCGCATGGACTCGATGGCCTGCAGGAAGTCGCCGCAGGCGTACTGCGCCTGGCCCTGGGCCAACTGCTCCCGCGCCTGCGGGGTGGCCTCCGCGGAAAGCCGCCGCGCGGCGCGCGCGTTTTCGCGCGTTTTTTCGGGGCTCCGACGCCAAAGTTTGAGCTGATGTCTTGGGCCGGCCCGGCAAAGCTGTCGGACTCATTGGGTGAATTTGTCAAACCTGCCTGACTTGTTGGGTGACCCTGGGTGTAAAAAAGGTACTGGGGTTGCTCCGTGTAAACAAACAAATTTCGAGTGGCTCCGTGGATCTGTGCTTGGACTGGCAACGTGTTGGGCCCAAGAAGGGGCGCCTTGTCAGAAGCCTGTTTGCGATCTGTCGCTGTTTGCCCACCATGGGGACTCCATATCTTGGGTTTCTTTCAACACAACCACAAAAGGCACCCTTCGAACAGGCGTACCCAAATGGAAAAGACCCTGCTGCCTTGCAGTTCTCGCGAGCGCTTTGCACCGCTGTCTTGGACTCTCGCACCTTCTTCCTGCAGGCAGAGCCAACTCGCGGCGACCCACTCTTTCCTGTTTCCAGATCGGTTCTAGTCATCAGCTTCCATCGAATTGGTGGTGTGGGTTGGTGATTTGGAAGTTTGGGAGTGGTTTCCCACATACCCCCTGGTTTCCCATTTATCCTCAGAACCAGGGGTTCAAAGCTCCAAACCACCAATCCAAAACACCATATAGGGGAAACTTGAAGTCAGGGAGGAATGGGCAAAAACAACACTAGACCACCTGCTTCAAGTGAGGATCTTGTACTTGCCAATGGCTTCCAGTGGCACAGTCAGTCGGCTATTCCCACCCTGCTAGTGGCTCCCAGTCACCCAGCTGACCCAATGCTGCATCAAACGGTACCGCCCAACACGCCGAGCCGAGGACAAAGCAGTGGCCAAGAAGTATTCGTAGTGCTAGGAAGGGAGCTTCTGCACTCGCGCAAGGCCGACACTTTGAGGGTCACAACATGGTGCCTGGGATTCAACTCCAAAGACGCCAGCTGCCCTTAGCGGCCATTGGGTTGTTGGAAGTGGTTGCCCCGGAGACACATTCGTGTGGCGTGGTTTAAACAGAACAACCACAGGGAAGCCGCCACTTTGGTGCGGAGTCACCAATGTTAAGCCCGTTCTATCCAAGGGAACAGGTTGCCCTGACCTATCCATCCCTCAAAGCGATGTGGAACCTAAACAAACTCCTGCCATCCCAGAATGTCATTCACTTTGTTTGGGGCTCTGGGGGCTTTTGCTGTGGACCCCAAGCAAAGTCCGGGCTCGTGCCGCCGGCCTCTGCTTCCTCTTCTTGTTGATGCGCCGGTTGTTCATACGCTCTGCCATCTTGCCTTGAGCAAGGGGCGCTCAAGTCTGGCGCTCAACTTCAAGTGGGCTGCTGATTAATTTAGAAGGAGGGACGCTGAAGTTGCGCGACCGGGCCTCTTTTTTGTGGGGCTTGCTCACATGCATCACGCCCCACTCAAGTCACGAAAGCGAGGCCCCACTTGAATTTGTCAGGGAGTCTCACCGCGGTTGGCAACCTTCCCTTTGAGTCAGGAGGTCGCAAGCCTTGTGAATATTGCGGGCCTATAAAACATGCAGCCCCAACTTGGGAGCCAAAGAGCAGGTGTCCTGAGACATGCGCTCATGTTTGCACGAGCCCAAAAGGGGAAGACCCAGCTGGTTTTTGTGCGGATGAACTCACGAGTTGCTTGAGTCAAGATGTGGCCACCTGTTTCACACAAATTTTGGCACTGGCTTTTCCAGCATGAACAGCTCCACTGGTATGGATTCCACACATAGTCCCTTTTTCCCACAGGTTTTGCAAGCGGACAATGCTCTGAAGCAGGCCCTGTCCACTTCCAGGACACATCACACTTGGAAAGAGGGTAACGGAAACACAGTTCGAACTGTTCCCACCCCTTGTACAGCTTGGTAAAAAGACGTTTTAAACAAAAAACATGCTTTCAGAATGACCCCCTAGAAACCCAGCCCCCCGAGCCCTCTCCCCCCAGCCCCCCCAAGCCTCCCTGCCCGACCCGCAGACACGCGCGCCGCGCGCCGCGCGCCTGACTCTTCCAGCTCTTGGCCGCCCACCGCCCACAGCACCGCGTCCAGATCCTCGATCTTTCGCGTCCCGCGAGCCCAGCCCGAACGGAAGGCCGGGGGTTTTCAGCGGGGCAACGGATTTCACCAATGACCGCGTGCCTGAAGTAGGGATGATCAAGGTGTGTGATTTGCTGCGTAAGCATAGATTCTATGCTAAGTTGAAGTAATGCGAGTTGTTCCAAGAGCGCAACCCCTGGCACCTTGGTGAAAGAACCAAACACGTTTGCCTTGGAAATGTTGACCCCCAGATTCATCAACCCCAGTTTATGAATAGCTGTTCCCCTCCGAAAGTGAGGATTCCCCGCTAAACCCTCGGACACTCCCCTATTTATAAACTGGGTTTAACATGGGGTCAACATTAAGGGTGTCTGTTTGACCTTCAGCGAGCATTTCCCTGCTGCAAAGCAGCGCGTGCTTCATGAACAACAACAATTCTCGCGACGGCATGTCCAAGGAATCCTGCACCACGGCGCCGGAAGGTGTGAATAGAATAGTTGCGACAATGTTCTGTCCAAGATGTGCCGCGTGACACGCACGAAAAAAGGCTGCCAGATGTGTGCCACAAACTCGGTTGAATTTGACGCTCGTAGAATCTCGTAGACATACTTCTGGCAGCAAGCAAGACAGCATTGCGCCAAGCAGAGGCCCAAGCTTTTGCTTGCTTCCTGCTAGGTTCTCGTGGACCGAACATCGCTGGTGAATCTGGACAGAAAAACACTGTCATCATTTACGGGGTTTATGTCTACCAACGCTTTGTTCCGGCAATGTCTTGGTCGCATCTTGAGAACTGGCCAGCCGCGTGCACCTCTCATGGGCATCTCTCGACCGGGCATCCCCTCAAAAAGTTGGCTTGGTAAAGTGTGGCAACCCTAATATTGGAGAGCAGCTCAGAAAATATACCTTATCAACAAAATGCTTCATGTCAACCAAGTTCTTGTGAATCCCCACATCCCCCCGAATCCCCACACATCCACCCCCCCCGGCAATATCCAGCCCCCACCCCCTCACCCCAAAGCTTCCCAGTCCCCCCCAAAGACAAGGCGCGGAAGAGTTGAAGTCCGAGTCCTCCATCAACTCACCTCGGTTTTCTCATCTCGGCTTTCCAAGAAAAATACAAAACATCCCAACGCAGGGGCAGCCTCAGAAAACGCAAACACTGCATGTCTTACGTGCGTGTGATCTTTTGTTGGCATGGGGTTGTGCCAAACGGGCATCTGGCCGCATAATCGGGGAGGGTCCACCGTGTTCAAACGAACAACACGGAAGACGTTCAGACGGAAAGCGCCTCTGAGACGTAGTCTTGCTCATGAGCGGTTGCCAAGACATACAGTAAGCAATCACCACCTGATGATGCACGCTTAAGGCTTGATGAGGTTCGCAGTCGGCATCTTTGATTACTCAGTGCTTTCAATGGTAGACCGTGAGTTCCGTGTCGTGTGTTGTCGCGCTACTTCCCAACCCCCAAATGTATTCGTAGTCAGGAAGTTGCTGTCCCTATGTCAAACATAGAAGGGAGCCCCAAGCAGGGGGACAAACAAACTACATCCCGAGAGATTTTCTGCCAAGCAGCTGCTGTTCTCATCCTTGTCTTCGGCCTCTTCGGCCAACTTCCTGCCAATCAGCCACCACGAGGTTGAACTGTCCCGCTTGTGAGTCTGTCCCTACCCTGGCGCACGTTTACTCCTAATTGACCCCGTGGAAGCCGACATGAGCCATGACACCCCCGAATGTGCAAGTTCAAGACACGTTGAGTTGCGCGTCCTTGATTTCCGCGGTCGCGTTGGCTCGTCGCCTTAACGTGCCAGCTCGGCTTCAAACCATCCCTTCACACACACATCTCCAAGCCCGGCAAAAAGCTGATTCCATGCCGCTTCCAACAGCCCGGAGTTGCACCAATCAAAGGTTGCCACAGTTGCACTTCCACCTTCTGGACATGGGAGCTGTCGCACGGAACTTCGAACAGACGTTCCGTTTTGCATTTCCTTGGAGCAATACTCCTCCCCCCCTCGCGAATTCGCGCGAATTCGGCGTAAGGGCATGGCCCGGCTGTCTTGGCCTCTGAACTCCTTCGGCCCTGGCACCCGGATGGCAATGTGACTTGAACCGCATGCTTCTGAGCCCTAAGATTCGAAAAGTGTGTGGATCTTCATGTCCTCTTTCTTCAGGTCTGCAAATCCCCATTTGCGCTGCAAACTAGTCTGACTCTGCACAATGCCGGGCTATGATTGATCCAGGCAAACCAATTGGTTGCTGCTGTTGCCTTACTTCACCGCCAACGTCCGCCGTGTGAGCGCCAAGCATTCCATCATGATTGGGCAAGACTATTTACCCCGGCATCTCCCAGAACGGCTGTTAGGCGGAACTCCGAACTCCTGTGCCAAGCGCAAGGGTATGCAGTGTTTAGGGTTTAGTCTAGGGTTTAGGGTTTGGTTTAGGGTTTAGGGTTTAGGGTTTAGGGTTTAGGGTTTGGGCGGTACACAAAAAAAAATCACCCCATCAGTGCCACTCAAGCCCCGCCTCGCTAAGGCCGGATCCGAGGTCTTCTGACGATATCGCTTGCGTGGCGTGGCCTTCAAAGGCGCCCAAGGATGACGAAGGCCAGCTGCACTCGAAAAATGCGAATTCCGAGGATTGGGCGTGGGTCAAAAATCGGGTAACCCCAAAATGGCTTGCCCTGGTAGACGGAAACATGGACCAAAACTTGCGGTCCCACACCCGTATCCCTTTTCATTTGCCTTTGGCGGCCAAAAGGTCTCCCTATCTTGAGAACCCAATACCTTCAGCATGTCCGTTAACCTTGCAGAAATCTTCAGGCAAGTGATCATTTGGAACCTGCTACACAACCAGCCAACGAGCCTAAGGTGACGTCCCTTCAAGTGCCTGGCGCCTAACCCAAACTGCCCAGAAAAGCAAGCGTAATGTCCACCCCCTCCGCAAGCAAAGCAAATCCTGTGCTTTCCTTGCTCTCTTCCAAAACCAAGCAGGGCCCCAAGGCCCCACCCCAAACACCAAGCTCCGCCCGCCTTTGCCGCTGGCCGCCGGAAGCTCCGTGCCCGCTGCGGCGCGCCGGCGCGGCCTCCTGGGGGCAGCAGACCTTCAGTTCAGTTCGCCTGGCTTGCGCAGTTGCTGTTTGTTTCTTGGTGCTTGTTTTTTCCCGTCTTTGCCAGTTTGGCTCGCTCACACGTCGAAAACCATGACAAGCAGCTTCTCCTATGTTCAACAAAAAAATATGATCTCAACATACTGAAGCCTCTGGAGCAAGCGCACGTCTGGTTTGCAACTAGGACAGGGCCCGACATCGAGGTGCAACACACATTTCAGACTCAGCGCACAGAACTGCAATGACTGAATATTCTTACCGCCACCCCACCCCCCTACCCCCACAACTCCGGACAACATGCCACACCGCTGAAAACCATGAAATACGCGTAATCAACAGGTTTCCCTCCTAATTTCCTTTTGGTTTCCCTTTCAAGCGAGTCCTTTTCAGGGAATCCTTCACAAAAAACACAACCCAAAGCCTGTTAGAATGCCTTACAGGCTCATTGGGATGATCCCTTGAAAGCTCCTGAGAAACACAAGGGATGGTTCAGCCGCCCCGCACAAGGTTTGGGTAACAACCCACGACAAAGGCACCACCTTAGTTCCTTGCCAAACTTCCATGCAGTCAAATGCGAATCGACTGGGGCTGTAAACATGCTAGGCTTTCGCGTCGGCGTCCCACTCTCCTTTCTCAGTGCCGCGGGATTTCAATTTTGCCCAAGCTCGATTCATCCAGGGACCCGTTGCAGCCACCCCACTCCGTCCCAATCGTGCTTTCATACGTATAGCCAGGTCCCGGAAGTCGTCCCGACGTCGTCTCTTCTGAGCGTCCCGCCACGAAATCGCAAGATGATGTATATGGAAGCCCGAAATGAGGTGTTGTTCTTCACTCGCAAGCTCACCGCCATGCACTCGCAACGACCACAGCTCAGTTTTGCGTTCTGCGACGAGCACGCATAAACGCAACAGCCACATGGCATCGCACCGTACGCCTTACTCATTGCTGAGAGCTTGTCCGACAACTCTCCCTCTGCTTCCCACTTGCTAACGACCGCATGCCCACCAAGATAATGGAAACGTGCGCCCATTCGATTGCTCGGCACTACCCACTGCCCTGCAGCTACATGACAAGCGCACCCGCTCCGCAACACCGACCGCACCCCCGGAATCGCAACAAATCCAAAAACAACAGCCTCAACCGACGCATCAAAGCCTAACAAAATGGCAACAGACTCAAAATGCTGCCTCGACCGACGCATCAAAGCCCAACGGAATCGCTACAAATCTACCAGATTTCCCTCAACTGACGCATCAAACCACCTACCCAAAATCCCCAGCTGATCGCACGACAAGAGATGACTTGCAGAGAAAAACAGCTCTCCCTACCGGTATGGCAACAATCATAAGAAAAGGGGACGACTTTCAGGGTTGCCTGTGGCATCCAAGGCTTAAGCTTAAGTTGCCGTGCCGCGAGGGTGTCCTGAGTGTCCTGAGGCTATCCCGCTTTCCCAGTCGTGTTTTGGTGGTGCCGTCGTGGTTTGCTCCGTCTCGAAAGCTGCCCCGCCGGCGCTTTGCCCGGAGCTTGTGCAAGCTTGAAGCTAAGTTTAACGCTCGAGCTTGGTTGCTTTGCTAAGAAGACGCTGCCATGCATCTGGTCTAAATTGTGTTACCGTTTGGGAAGAAACCTTCAAGCTGGCACCAGGCAACCTGCCCAACTCAAGAATTCGTCACGGGAAAGCAGCAACTCCAAAGCAACCCAGACTCGGTTGCTTTCTGCTCCCCTGCTGAAAGTTTAGCTTTTAGTGGTTTAATGGAAAACCCATTCGGTGGCAAAAAGTGAAAGCCCTAACATCCAAGCAAAATGCAACAAAGCTGACACAGACTCCCGCCCACAAGTCCTGCGCTCTTGGCCCTAGCCTTGCCCTTGGCGCGCGCCTTTGGCTTCGCCTCGGACGAAAAACCCGCGGCACCCGAGCTGACGGCGGGGAGCCTTTTCTTGCGATCGGTGCCAGAGATGCAGGGAATGAGAAATGGAATGACCCAGAAAAACCAGCCAACTGGCGGCTTCCTTGAAGGGGAAAGCTTGGTTGGAGTCCGTCTGTGGACCCCAAAACGGCAAAGGCACGACGAACATGAACAACTTCAACATCACCTCCTGAAAAAAACAAGACAAAGCTTCTTGAGGCCGTTGACGTCTATGGCCTCAGTCCATTTCACTCAATCCCTCCCCAGATGTCACAAAATTTGGTCCAACAAGCCGAGGTCGAGGAAGCTGCAAGAATGCGAAAAAGCGCCGACCAAACGAAACAGGGCCAGCTAGGAATCAACCACCAGGAGCCAGGCAGCCAACAAAAGAACCAGAAGGATACATGTGTCATACTCGGCGAATCTCATAATATGTGACAATGATCATGTGGCATCCTAAGTCAATAGACGCCGTCGTATGGGTGTGGGTCAACAATTGGAACCCTGGTAAATGGAAACAAGGACTAAAACCTGCATTGCCCTGGTGGCTGAATTTTGACCCATGCCCATATCTGAAAATCCTTCAAACGCCTTGAGTTGATGCCCGTCACCCCGACTTTCGGCCATGGCGGCCACGGCGCCTCGCGAGTCATCTCAGGCGGCGCATGGCTCACGAAGCGGACGCGAGGACCGTGTGACACGGGGCGTGCGGAAGGTTCGTTTGGTGAGGCCGGATGGGTCGCCCAGGCTTGGCAGCTGAAAGACGACACTCGGACCAAAGGGATCGCTTCTCAGCTGAAGAGGTTGGCTTGCCAGTGGCGTTTGCTTCGGTCGGTGAGGTTGCCTTCTTGCGGCTGGAGTAGCTGTTGAGTTCGTTATTCTTTCCAAACATCCTATCTGTTGCCGCTCGGATGTGTTCTCCACGGAATATCATCTTCGGCAGACAGAAAATGCCTTTCACGAGCTAAGATCAGGCCCGCGCACGCGGATCCACACTGTTTGATCATGCGCATCGAATCTGATATTTCAGATGGTGACAAAGCTGAATCCACATTGAAACCAATCACTCGACAGGGTCCCTAAAAGTGCATCTGCCAAGATGGCTCAGAAGTACTTCAGCCTCAAAGTTCCTGCACCCGCGCACCGAGCCGAAGAACCAAACTGGCCAAATGGTGGTCAAAGTACCTCTGACATGGGTATGGGTCAAAATTAAAGCCCCAGGATATGGACCGCAGGTTTTAGTCCTTGGTTCCATTTACCAGGGCAAGCCATTTTGGGGTTACCCTATTCTTGACCCACACCCACATGGCCTTCTGTCGTAACAGCAGGAAACCGGTTCCACTGCCCAAATCTTCTTTAAGGGTTGATGACCATCCGCGTTTCAAAAGGTGCACTGACCATCAAGGCGATATGCATGCGCCCTGACTTTTTGTGCCTGCCAACTATTTTTGAATGGGAAAACTAGGCGGGCTCCGCTGGTAAACACAACAAG